AAACTGCACTGCACTCGAAATTATATTCACATGCATCTCTTCATGTCCTTCATAATGAGAGCCATCGCAGTCTTCATCAAAGATGTCATCCTGTTTGAGAGCGGAGAGTCCGAGCACTGCTTTGTGAGCTCAGTAAGTAGCCTTGCACTTTGAAGTTTCCACCTCATTCTGTTGCCCCCTCTTCAACAACGCACCAGAAATTACCTTGCAGACGCACGAGAGGCAGGACTTTGGGAAGGTTTCAGGAAGGGAAGGGAATAAATTGATTAGCAGGGTCAAAAATTGATTGGCACCTTGTCCCCTTGTGAGGTTGGACTCGCTGATCTTAGAGGTGTTTTCCAACCTGAAGGATTCTGTGAGGTCAAACCCACTACTGAGGCTCTGCAGGATTTGGGGGTTCTTGTCAGCCTCATGTCCATCTCCCAGTCAGCTGCTAATTTTTTGGATATCCTGGTCCAAAGAGACTTGCAGTGCTGTGTGCAGGGATTCAATAACACTTTTCCCTCCAGAGTCAGATCCAGACTCACATTAGTAACTCTCCATGAGGGAAGTGCCTGTAGATGAATGTGTAAAGTGCAACCATAGTCAGTCAGGCTTTGATTAACACATTCACTGGAGCCTGGAGGGCTGTTCACCTCATTTGGAATAAGGCACCTGGATTTTGGATGGCTCCCTGGGCTCCAGTGACCACACCTCTGCAGGAGTTTGGGCAGGAAATCTCTGTGTAGACATCACCATCTATTTTTCACCTGGACTTTGTCTCCCACGCTCTCCGTCTGCAACTGTGAGATTTCCCTCCTGGGATGATAAATGAGGGCAGTAAAGGAGTTGGGATTTATTTTTTTCCCCCACTTTCAGACTCGGTGTTATCAGCTGGAGCAAACATTGAGGAGGGAGAAGGGCTGTTTATCTAAAGGCCACGTTGACGTCAGGGGACACCAGCCATGAATAAATTCAAGCAGGAAATTAAAATCGCCAAACTGAAGGGATGTGATCACAAGTCATTAAAAAAAAAGAAAAAAGAAAAAAGAAACCTCCATAGCAAATTCATAACACTGCATGAGGTGCTGGCTGGCAATAGCAGGAGAATGAGCACAGCAATCCAGTAAATCCCTTCTGGACCTGTTTTCTTGTGTCACACAGCACCAAAAAAAAAGATTCCTTTTCTCGTCCATCCACCCGGTTTATTCTTTGCCTCCTGGCTTTTCTGTATCCTAACCCTGAGCCCTGTCCCTGCTGTTACAGTGACCTTTCTGCTCCAGCATCTCTCAGTTGCAGCCTCCTTTCAGCTTTTCCCAAGAACTGTCTGCAGCAGGAAATGTTCCCTTTGGAATGTCCCTCTGTGCTTTTCCCTCCCCGTGGTTCCCTGGGATCTGTGTTCTGGCAACTGAGAGAGTCCATGAATGGTTAGAATGACATGGAAACTGGAATGAGCAGTTCCACAGGGAACTAACTGGCAGAGGAGCCAAGAACCCACCAAACCATGGAGTTTGAACTCACCCCTCACCCCTGGGGGAGGTTGCACTAGGACATGAGCGCAGAGAGCTGTGTGAGAAGTGTTTCCTTCCAGAAACACAAATACAGGAGTTTTCCTGCAGAATCCACAGCTCCTGGAAGCCCCTGTGCTTTCAGGTAGATCTCATGGGGTGTGTTTATCCCCATCAGAGAACTTTCATGTCAAACACCAGCCCAGGGTGAATGGCTGGATGATACACAAGGGTTAAAAAATGATGTGGAACAAATCTGTCTCTGCTGCACAACCCCTTGCAAAAATCTGCACGACCTGTCTTGAACCCACATTATGGACCAACTTTTTAAGTCACAGTGAAAAAAATACCTACATAAAACACAGACAAAATGCCTTTCCTAACGTTCATCTCTTGGGAGGAATAGTTCCAAAATCCACTGTGTTCCTGTGGGTTTGGGTGGGTTGGCTTGGCTTGAGTTGAGTTTGTGCTTCGAAATTGCAGGATAAAGTTTGACTTGGGAGACCTGGGGACTAATCCACGAACCCAGGACCTCAGACACAGTCTCCTGGAGGTTTTGTGTGTAATGGCTGGATGTGGCCTTGAGCTCATTCAGTCTGAGGAGAGATTGGAACAAACAGTTCAATTTTGTGAGGGCTGTCACCGCTGTGCTGGTTTAAAACAGGGCAAACCCAGAGCAATAAGAGTGTTCTATTAGAAGAGAAAGTACCACTCTGAGTTACTCTAAGGAGCAAAACGATAAAGACACCCCCCTCCCAGAAAAGGCTGTAAAATCCAAATGAACAGAGGACTCTGATGAAGGGAACAAATTCCTGAATTTGGTTTTACCTGTAGCAGTAAGAAGATTTCAAATTGTAGTTTATGCACCAACCATACAAAAATATGGTAAGCTCTCCAACAAATATGTCAATGTTTAAATCAGCTGGGAACTGCAATACACAAAGGTGTATATGTAATTGAAAAAAACTCAGCTTTTTTATAGATTTTACTGCATTTTTGCTTCATTTTGCCTCATGTGGGAAACCTCAGTTATGGTGTTAACTCACTTTAATCTCAAACATCTTTGGATTACCATTGAGTTCAACATGAGCACCCTGGAAAATTAAGTTTGTTGGGCATGAGGTTTACCCCAAAACAAGGAAGGGAGGAATACAAAAGGAAATAAAAGGAAAAAAAAAAAGCCTTAGAGAATGCTCCTGTAAATAATACAAACAACTAAAAAAAAACAACAAAAAGAAAGCTTGGGGAAGGAATGGAGACATCCTGAAAATAAGCCAGGAGGGAAGGCCGAAAGTTAGACTGGGGAAGAGCTCTGGAAGAGGAACTTTCTTTGCTCACCCCGACACAGCAGTGCCCAGTCACGGGCTGGCACCTTAAAGCAAAGCAGTAGTGCCAATAATGAGGGAAAGTGTGCAAAATGTGAGGAAGGGCATCGTTAAAACTCTGCTCACCCTCTCTCTTTACTTGCTGCCTTGTGCTTGACTTGCCTTATCTCTGAAGATGTGTTCTGAAGTGCCATTATTCTGTGACTGATGAGCACAAAACAGGCCCTGTTCACCCATTTAACCAAGATAATTCTATTTTTCACACCTCAACTCAACTCTGAGTCACCTGGAGCCCAGGCTAGACCAGCCAGAGCTAATCACCATCTTGGAAATGCTCCCAAGATTGGCCCCAAAAATCAAATGAGTGTTCCTGAGGGATGGAATCGAAAGGCTGAGTCCCTCAAAGGCTGACAGGTACAGAACCCCTGCTGAAATGGGTGAAGAGAAAGGCTTAAATAGCTTTGAGGGTCACAATCAGGGGGATTAAACTTGCTTCTAAAAGGAGACAGAAAGCTTTCTGATGAATCCAGCAGGACAGCACTGGGATTTGAGGGAGCCTGTGTGGGAAGTGGGAAAGGCACAAAGGGCAGCCACGTGGACCATGTGGGCGTGTTTTTTGTTGGGGTGAACTGGTACAGCTCCAGTTATTTTAATGCAGTGCAGGATCTGACCCTTGTAAATCCTCACCTTAAACCCTGGAAGTGTCCAAGGCCAGGTTGGACGGGGCTTGGAGCAACCTGGGCTGGTGGAAGGTGTCCCTGCCCATGGCAGGGGGGGTGGAATGAGATGATCTCGAAGGTCCCTTCCAACCCAAACCATTTTGGGATTCTCCAAATGCCTTGCTGTTTTCTTCTGGCTTTCAGCTGGTACTGAGGAGGAGGAAGCACAGGGAAAAGCCACGTTTATCCCTTGGGGCTTTGAGTTCCATATGGGTCAAGCTGTTGCTGGAGAAATGATGCTCTACCCAGAGAAATAATAATCTATCCAGGTTCACTGGTTGGGAACTGTGGAAGTGGTAACAAATCCCCGAGCTCAGCCACAAATCCAGGCTCTAATGGCTTCATAAACTGCCCAGTGACAGCTGGCACGGAGAAAGTATCCCAGTGTGTGCTCCCACACACGTGGAAATGTGATGGATTGTGACCTGGAGGGGAGCAGGTGAAGAGAACGGAATATTTTTGCCATTGCCAAGGCTTAAGGGCTTCCTTGCATAGTGTTTCTGGGGCACCACTGGTGCAGAGCAAGATGTTAACGGGGACAAATGTGTGTCTGGGGCCTCTTATCCCTGTGCCTGAGATAGAAGGGTCACTGTGAACCCACTTAACTCGATCTATCTCTGCTTTTAGTAATATATTTTTAACACTTGCACTTGAAGCCACAAAGGGCTCAAGGTCCATCATCAAGCCATAAGGTGATGATTCCCATGAAGGTCTTTTCTTTGACCTGAGAGATGAGAAATTGCTTTAACTGAGACTTTTAACTTAAGAACTTCAGCCCTCTCTGGGCCTCAATCATAAACCACTTTGTTTCTGTCAAGTGGCGTTTTAAGAATTTCTTTAATCACATTTCTTTATTCATTTATTCATTCGTCTCATTCACTTATATTGTTAAATATTTAACACACAAATTTTCTGTGCATCTCCCAGGAAAATTTGAAGGGTCACCCCCTAGTGCAGCAATTTATTATATGAAGTTATTTGCTTGTCAAACTCCGTGACTGGGAGGGAAGGAAGGAGTCAGAGGCACCCAATTGATTTAGGAGGAGTTTTCTTGTTTGAATAGACCTCAATTCCCTTTCATGATAGAACATAAACTTTGTGGGGCTTTCTTTATTGCTAATTTGTTTGACTCTAATCTAGAGCTGCAATTAAAAGGAGGGAAGAAATGAAAGTCATGGCTTTTTGCCCAGCACTCTGGTTTGTTTGCTTTTAATTTGCTCTTTTTCTGTTGTTACGCAAAGGGTTAAGTGTGCTAAGCCTAAATTAGCCCTTTTTTCTTTTCTCTTTCTTTTTAATTTTCGTTTCCTTTTTTCTTTTCCTTATTTCTTTTCTTTCTTCTTTTTCTTTCTTTTTCTCTTTCTTTTTCATTTTCATTTTTGTTTCCATTTTTCTTTTTCTTTTTCTCTTTCTTTTTCATTTTCGTTTCCTTTTTTCTTTTTCTTTTTTTTT